CCCACCTTTGCTCGACTCTCCTAGTATTGCAACTCCCATTCCTGTTCCTGGATTCCATGTGTCATGAGCTCTTATCTATACCTGTGCACAAGTTCCAGTCTGGCCCTCAGTGAAAGGCAGCACTGGGGTCATGATAGTGGGGCGTGAGGAAGCCTCATGGAACCAGAGGAATACTGTGTGTTTCATCGGTGCTCTACTGCGCCCTAGTTGACTCATCCTTTCCTTGTGACCCGTCTCCGAGGGAACGTCCCATTGTCTACAGATGGGACACATAACCACATACACCCCGGGGGGGATGAACAACAGAAACCATGGGGGAAGGGAGACAGCAGTCGGTGTAAGATATGAAAATAATAATAATTCATAACCTATCAAGGGGTCATGAAGATGGGAGGATGGGGAGGGAGAGAAAATGGAGGAGCTGATACCAAGGGCTCAAATAGAAAATAATGTTTAGAAAATATTGATGGCAACATATGTACAAATATGCTTGATACAATAGATGTATGCATTGTTATAAGAGCTGTTAGAGCCCCCAATAAAATGCTATTTTAATAATTTTTTAAAAAATTGGTATTAAACCTGGCCTCAAAATTACACACACACCCCTTTAGCACACCTGTGATCCTTTTGGCAAATAGGCACCCTAAGGAAAATACCCAAACCGCTGCTCTGTCTTCGTGTGTTTTGGAAGCTTAGGCTGAGAGAAGACACTGTTGGTCAACCACGTGCTGGTCAGAGAGACAGGTTTAGACACTTTGTTTTGAGCAGCTCCGTGCTGACATGAACGGGAGCCTTGGTAGCAGCCCTCCCTGAGTATCCCGTCTGTGAGCAGGTGGGAATTCAGCCCAGGAGAACGCTGAGATGTCACTGGGCCCCAAACACTCTGGGCACCTCTCTGTGTTCCTCGGGAAGCCACTGGACGCAGTGTAGCAAGGACTGCACCCTGGGGTGCCGATGACTGTGACAATGAACCAGCTGCTTCCAGCTGGAAGCCCAATGCAAAGACTTCCATTCGTGCAAGTGACTGGTCTCCTCACCACCCGACTGGCAGGACTGGCAAAACCAGCTCTGTGAACATGAAAACACCCAAAGCACTGTTCTATCTTTGTGTATTTTGGAAGCTTCCTTTATTCGGTTCAGTGGTTCTAACCCTTACTTTAGGTGCTGGATTTCTGTGTTCTTGAAGCTGGATAAATACCAAAGGATCTAAGAGCTCGTTCGCACATAGGGAAATGCCATAGCCCATTTGATTTAATAATAGATCACTGAGCAAGCATTGGGAAATAATCTGAGTCCTGAGAGCTTCTAAGCCCAACTTTGAATACTCAGGCTCTTGATTCACGTCCTCACCGAGGGCCTGGCTTACACGGGCCAAGAAGGTACCTTTTCTCTGTAAAATGCAATGGTTCTGCAGTGTTCTCGGAAATGACAGGCGTATTAAATCTTCTCCCCTTGACCTTCCTTTGGCTTCAGGTCTGAATGCAGGATCTAGTTCCTGCCCAAAGCTCTTTCCTCCCATTTGTCCCTGATGGTGGTGAGGACTGTACGTCATCAATGTCACTGATAGCCCTAGGCTGTGAAGGTGGAAGTGTTGATTGGGCAAATGTGTTATATGTATTTTTACAATAATTTTTAAAGTGTTTTTCCTCACCTCCTCACCTCCCTGCCATGTGGCCAGGAGACCCTCCACTGTGCCCTGCTAGAGCATGCCTCCCATTAGGGTGCAATTTACATTACGATGTGCGTTTCCAGGGAGTCTGAGTTCTAAGGAGGCAGGGACCAGTTTCTTTGGCCATATCCTTCACACCGATTCCTAGCGGGCGTTCAGTAACATCTGTGAGATGACGAGTAGATGGTTTCTGACAGGCTCAGCCCCTGACGGTCGCGGGACTGGGATGAATGTTATTCTTGGACGACTATTCCGGGAACTCACTGAAATAGTCCCGGTGTTCTGCTGCCTGCATGGACAAATAGTACCCAAAATACACAGCCAGTGAATCAGCTTGTACTACACTTTTGGGAGGAGGAGAAAGACAAAAAGAAATAAATAAACCTTCCGTTTTTATGGTTGGAGGAACCCAGACTATTCTACCCTCCTCCGTTCTCATTAATAAAATAGAAAATCCTGTGCCTGTTCATCTGAGCTCTTCAGACTAATATAAGGCTTGATTATCCCAAAGCGTTACTAATGGTACATCAGAATCATTTATATCCCCTAATTGGAAGTGGCATACACATCTACCAACCAAGAGATGGTTTAAATAAATGACAACACTATCAAATAATGAGTTATTAAGCAGCCCTTGACAATGGTACCTACACCGAATCTGCAGTTAAAATATGGGGCATACAATCACATAGGCACATGGCTAGCATGACAAAAAAAAACCCATCAAAGGTGGGCTTAAAATAGAAGGAAGCACCATAAGACGTTAATAGTGGCCTGATTTATGTGTTAGGACTGTAGATGGTTTTTCTCTATTTCTACTTTGCTCAATACTTGATGAGATTTAAAACTTTATTCTCAAAGTAAAAAGAAAAATTGAAATCCAGAGATGATCCAATTGCTCATTTAAGACATCCTGTTTTGTGAGACTTTTTGGCTGTGGCTCCTGGCTGTGGCTGTCAGAAAGAGCTCCACTGAGCAGCAGGGGAAGGCCGCAGGGGGCAGTGGATGGGAACACATGGAATCCTCCAGATTAGCAACTGCCTGAGTCATACACATAGCAGCTACTGACATTTTCCATACATTAAAAAAAACAAATCACAGGTTCCTACAAAGGTGGGAGATGGGTATTCACTACCGAAGAATTCCAGGCGGAAAAGAGCAGAACTGGAAGGGTCCGGAGCCGCTGGAGTCACACGGATCACAAAAATAACCATGTGTTCACATATTTATTGTCCTATGTCTCTAACCAGTGTGGAAGTCATACCTTGTCCCTTTTGCCCATAGAGCCATTGCTTTAGGGAAATAGGTCCATTTATAAATGCCATCGGGGCCCAGGGCCTTGGGTAATGCAGTTTTTGCTTAACTACTAACCCAAAGGTTGATAGTTCAAACCCACCCAGCAGTGCAGCAGAATAAAAGGCCTGGTAATTTGCTTCCAGGGAATCCAGGACAGATGGACCCCCTTGGGACCAATAATGAGAATAGAGATACCAAGGGGGTGGTGGAGGAAGGTGGGGGAAGATACAGGGACAAAAGGATCACAAGGATCTACATATAACCCCCTCCCAAGGGGACGGACAACAGAAAAGTGGATGAAGGGAAACATCAGTCAGTGTGAGACATGAAAAAATAATAATAATTTATAAATTATAAAGGGTTCATGAAGGAGGGAGAAAAATGAGGCACTGATACCACGTGCTCAAGTGGAAAGAAAATGTTTAGAAGATGATGATGATGGCAACATATGTACAAATGTGCTGACACAATGGATGGATGGATGGATGGTGATAAGAACCCCCAATAAAATGATTTTTAATAAAAAGATAACAATGATAGAAGACCTCCTACTCTGTAGCACATGGGCTCACTGTGAGCCCGAATCAAAATAAGAGCAACCGAGGACAGTAATAAGGACCGTGGCCAACTTTGCAGACCCAGACCCACAGAGATAGTGTTCACGCAGCTTCCAAGTTCAGAGGTGAGCAGCGGCTGCTCCGAACTTGGTAGCACAACCCTAGAGGACCTTTCTTCACGTACTTGCTGAAAGTCGACTCCCCCTGCCAATGCCAACAGATGGAATATGGTCAGCAGGCACCACAAGGACACACACGTTGAGGTTCTCGTGTTGTGACCTCGTTTTCTTTATGGAGAACCCCCTCCTGGTGTAGCATTCCTGGTAGTGGGGGAGGGTGGGGGGGGCTTCACGACCAAAGACCTTCAGGAGAAAACGAGCAGCAGGGCGTCCAGAGCTGCTGGAGTCGCGTGTCTCACAGAAATAAAACAGGTCTCCTCATCCCCACGCCCAGGAACCGTGAAGGGTGGCAGTGGGGATGGTGGCAGCAGAGGGCCGGAGAGAAGGGACAGAGCCAGGACTTGGAAGGGGTTCATTTGTGCAACTTTCTGAGAATTTGCATTTCTACCCCAGATACACTGAATCAGAGTCCACAGTTTGACGAGAGCCCCAGGTGATTTAAAAAAAATAATTTTATTGGGGGTTCTTACAACTCATCATAATCCATACATAGATCCATTGTGTCCAGCACATTTGTACATATGTTGCCGTCATCATTTTCATATCATTTTCTTTCTACTTGAGCCCTTCCTATCAGCTACTCATTTGCCCCTTCCTCCCAGTCCTCCCTCCCTCATGACCCCTTAATAATTTATCAATTTTTTTTTCATGTCTTATACTGACCGCTGTCTTTCTTTCCCCAGCCTTCTATTGTTCATCCCCCTGGGGGAGGTTACATGTTAATCATTGTGATCGGCTCCCCCCCTCCCCCCCTTCTCCCTACCCTCCTAGGATCGCTACTCTCATTATTGGTCCTGAGGGGTCTATCTGTCTGGATCCCCGTGTCTCGAGCTCTATCTGTACCAGTGTACATGCTCTGCACTGGTAAGTCTTAGGCACCTATAGAGAAAATTCACCTGACGAGCTGCACACATACATATGACTCTCTTGGGTATTTTGTTAAACTGCAAATTCTGATTCAGTATTATCAAATTCTCAGCAGGAGGTCCAACTAAAATGAACTGATTTGAAGCCATGGGCAGAACTCCAGCCTTGAAATTAGTCATGCAGATTAGCCTGAAAGAAATGGCAGTAGGCTTAAAGGAAATCCATTGCAAATCAAAATTTAAAAAAAAATGTATGAATAGAGAAAATTGGGAAAAGGAAATTAAAAAACAGATATAAACCTGAAAAATATAACCCAACTAATAGGATGTGTTGAGAAAAACCACTTGGGGACATTATTGTACCCAATTGTACTGCATGGTTTTTCATCCTTTCCCCTGAGGGCAATCTCCATGGCAATCATTCACTTACTTTCTCTGGAACTGGACCACAGGATCAGCAAGCAGGTCAGTGACATCAAGCTTCCTCCCCTTCTCTATGACATCTCGATGCTTTCGAACAAACAGCCACCCGATGTGGGAGAAGAAGAAGCCCCTGCGGGCATTATGAGGGTCAGCATCTGTCTCGGAGTACTTGTGGTGGACTCGGTGGTCCCTGCACCATTCAAAGATGTCATTCTGCAGAGAGAAGGGAAGCTGGAGTGAATATACAAAAACTCTGGTGCCTTTGTTCTAAAATAAACAGCCATCTAAAGAAACCAGTTCATGCAGAAGAAAGCACACCAACCAAAGTGTGATCAAAAGGATTTTAATAAAAATCTATGAGCAGAGGAGGGGATGCATTAGTGCTTAAATTCTAAGCACCTGGTATGTGGAAGTCTACAGTTTACAGTGGGGGTCCCAACTCCATATAGAGTCTAATATAAATTCAGCCTCCATTGAGTTTATTCCATTAACAAGCAATGTAAAAGGCTTTGCCCCAAGACAGAGTATGTTTGAAACTAAATACTATGACTCTCATAGCCAGCTGAGGGAGGGGCAGTCTCACCCTCAGGAACGTGCCTGAAATTGGTGAACCAGGGCCAACTGGCCTCAAGTTATAACCCAACCAAGGTGGTCAGATATGTTGCCACTCTCCATCTTTATTTACCTATTCTGACATAAACTGTTCGTCCCACAACACACTATTTTTCTGCTGGGCTTTAGAATTCATTGCAATGGCCACATGTAACTCACAGACAAAACTAACAACAACGGAGACTTATTAGTGAAGCTAGCAAGACACTGAAAGTCAGGATCAGTAAACAGTCGGTATACAGTCTTTGGTCCACAGCAGCACCTCCACTCAGCGGGTACCCACGTCTCTCTTCAGTCCTCAGCCTCGCGGCCTCATCGTGCCCTTGGCTGCTGCGTCCATGGGCAGGAAGCAGCCACTGCTCTGCCTCACAGTCTCACAGACACAGCGCTGCTCCTCTACTCTGTTCCATGGTCTCCGTGCCACAGCCACGATACCGCATGTCTCAGCCTGCGCCACTTTAGCCAAAGATCTTGAACATGCCCCCCTGGTGGCTCTTCTTCTGATGGTACTGGGATTTCTCTGTCTGTCTATCTTGCTTTTGAAATACCCCATTCTTCCATGGTAGTGTGTTTTTTGTTTATCAGCAGAGCATACCCCCAAGGCAACAGAGGGTGGTGACTTGGTTCACATCTTCTAGTAAGGTGAAGGCTCAGAATATATCCCAAAGTTCACCAGCAAATGTCTTGGGTTTTTTTTGTGCATATTATTATCTCTGCAGGTCTATCTAGATAAGATAGGCTGGATGAGAAAACAACAGGACCAATGGTTCCGGGGAGATGGGAGAGGGAGAGGTGGGGGAAAGGAGGTGGTGTTGACCAACCCAGGGACAAGAGAACAGCAAGTGATCCAAAATCAGTGGCAAGGAGTGTGTAAGAGCCCTGGAAGGAATTGATAAGGGGCAATGTGACCAAGAGAAATTACTGAAACCCAAATGAAGGCTGAGCATGATGGTGGGACAAGAGGAAGGTGAAAAGAAACAGAGGAAAGAACTAGGAGGCAAAGGGCATTTATAGAGGTCTAAATACAGGCATGCACATATGTAAGTATATTTATATATGATGGGGAAATAGATCTATGTGCATATATTTATAGGTTTAGTATTAAGGTAGCAGATGGTCATTGGGCCTCCACTCAAGTACTCCCTCAAGACAAAAACACTTTGTTCTATTAAATTGGCATTCCATGATGCTCACCTTCCCAACACAATCACTGAAGACAAATGGGTGCATAAGCAAATGTGGTGAAGA